TAGGTCCCATGGCAAAAGGAATGAAAAGGATGGCTCTTGCTGGGAAGGAAATTTCTGATCATCCTTCTCTACCAATGAAGAAGTTTTTATAAAGTGAACCATGGCTTTAAGAGAAAGCAGGAGGGAGAGAGGGGAAAAGAGAGAGAAATTATAACATAAATTCAATCTTCCTTCACAAAATATGCACAGGATTGGATTGGACAGATCCTAGAGCAAGACAAAAAAAAATTATATTGTTGTGAATTATCCCTCTTTTTTATATCACATCTTCACATGTAATTCTCTAACTTTTATTATTGCTCATATCCTTTTTTATCTTCTTTGTTTCTACCTTTAATAAAATCTTTTCACAAAAAGAAGAAAGTTCCTTGAAGCTGAAAGACATTTCCCTTGAGCTCTCCCTTCGTGGGTATATTATATAGACTTTGTTTTCTTAAGTTCACTTTCTAGGCCACCTTAAGATAATTTTGGTTTTGCATTTTTTTCTGTTATATTCACGTTTGGCTACTCTCAAAAAGAAAAACTGAAAAATGTCAAAGATGATGGTGTGCCTTACAGCAAGAAATAACATCCTTTGAGGCAGCTCTGTCCTAGAGACAGACTATCTGTGGATGAGGTGACAGTTGAGTCTCCAAGCACAGCTGACAACTCACTTGAAAAGAATTCAAAAATTGTAAGGAAGACTAGGGGTGGAGGTGGGGAGGCTGGTGGGTATTGCTTGGTAATCAGCAGACTCTTACTGTGTGGTGTGAAATTCATGAAAAAGGAATGAAAGTTCCACTTGAACCACAGCTACTTGGGATCTCATTTACATTCTTAAGCCAGTGCTGTGGTACTATAAATAGAGGAGCCTATACATAGAGATGGGTTATTTCTGCCAATAGTAATTTTTATTTTTTAGAAGAATCTAGAGACATAATTCATAAGGACTCATTTCTGCTCACTTTCCTGCTGAGAATCTCCCTCTCTTGACACCGTGGGTGGTCAACTTTGAAACGCACTAATGATCCATTAGACACAAAGGGTGCAGGAAGAGTTATTTATTTTTTTTTAAGTTAATACATGCAGGAGTCCTTTTAGTTCTAGAACATTTTCAGGCATCTGGCTGTTATGTAAATAGAGGCATCCTTTTCAAGCCAGCATCTTTGATTTTTTAATCAGCTAAATTTTCTAAAGATAATTTTTAATACCCATAGAAACTTAATGACAGTCATCTGATACACTAACCATATTGTGACTTGTAATTGAATATGCTATAATGGTTACAGTGCCAAAATAAACAGATGTTTGCATACACTTATATAGGTAGCACTTTTTTAACTAAGCTTTAAAATGACTGACTGAATGTTTTCCTACTTTATGTTGCTAAGTGTAATATACATCCAGTAGACCATATATGGCTCTAGTAAAATAAAAACCCTCTAATCTTTGTCTTAATGGATAAATATTGTATTTTCAGATATACATTAGTCAAAGGCTAAAATGTAGCCTGAAAAGAGAAAATTATAATGCCCTGGCATCCTGCTAGACACATTAGTAACTCATGCCCACCAACCTTTCATTCTGGTGAGAAAATTTGTCTCAGGGGAGCTGGCTTTTGCACAAAGCAGGCTGTGCAAGAGGATCACATGGTGACATCTTGAAAACACAGAATCTTGGGCCTCACCCTTGATCTCCTAAATCAAAATCTCAGAAGGCAAGGGCAGCTGGGGAATCTGCATTTTAAAAGCCACGTGAATGATTCACAGGTATCATTCTGTGGTGCCAGTCCTCAGAAAAGCTTTTAGAAGCCACTGGCATTTGAATCCATGTATCACAGAGCTAAGGCCTTAAAATCCTTGCCCACTGCCTAAATTCCCTTTTCATATACCTACGCTGTGTCTTATAATGATCCGTTCATGCCCTTATGTTGTCTTCCCAAACAAGAGCAGAATTAAATCTTCTGAACTCCGTGGCAAGTGACTCTGTCCATAACATAGGTGCACAGCCAATGCTGGTTGACAGCAGTTGGCAATAAATACGGGGTTATGGTTTACAGGTAAGAACGTCACCGATACCTGGGTTCTTTCTCAGACCTACTTTTAATTCTGAAAAGTGCCCTGACTTCCTCAGAGGAGGCTTTGCAAAACATTTTTCCATATGGTTCCAGATCTGTGAAGGGTAAGATTTTGACAACTTTTTCAAATTAAAAAAGTGGACTGCATGTAAATCTATTCTCCCGTAACTAATCAAACAGTATCCAGTACACTCACAGAGATGTTACAACATTTAAAGTAAACTGAGTCAAGGAGGGTGACATCGTATTAATCATTGTTTCCAAACAATGGACTGTCACCTAGGACAGCCTCAGGACACTTACTTTCTTGGTCAACACTGCTGTTTGCTGCAGGATGTGGAGAGCTGTCATTAGAGTTAAGTGACAACAGACTCAGCTGACTTGCAGCTTTTGTAGAAGTTGAGATTTCGTAATAGGATTTTTGGCAAGATCTGAAAAGGAGAAACTTTTGGTCCAGGTAATACAGCTGGTAGCAAAAATAGATTTTATTAAAACTACAGGTGAAATATTGAGCACTCCAGGAAATATTTTGGAACTCGAAGGTACAATTGAAGTGAAATATACAGAGGCCTCATCATCTGGCAAAATTTTAGTTGGTTAACACTGACTCTTCCTAATGGAAAGTCAAGATGGTCAAGAGGGCTTTGGGCACTTGCTCATGGTCAGCCAGATGAGAGGATCTTCCCCCTTCATGGAGCATTTTCTCTAGAATTTAATTTCTCTCCCTGCTCTAGCTGCCTGTTGATGTGCAGATGCACGCGGTTAGTCATCTCCACATGAATTTATAACAACCAACTTCTTCCAACACCTGATGAAAGCAAAAAGGAAATGAGGCTTGATTGATCAATAGGATATGATTAAAATTAGTGCTTTCCCCAGTTTATAACAGAAAAGCATCTTTCCTTCATTTCAAATCTGGTTAGGTCTTTATGATTCAAGCACTTAAATCAATCAATATTTAGATTCGTATGACTTTCATATATGTGGCATTCTCCTTTACTATAAAAAGATGAATTTGGCCCTTCCAGAATGCAGTTTCAAGAGTGTTATACTCCAGGACTTCATCCCAGAATACTGAACTTCCAATTCCAAGTTAAGTAAACGGAGGTGAAATTACATGGGATTTATCCGTGGCCCCCAGCAACATTAAGTTCCTACCTAACACTTTAAGTCACACCAGAAGGTATCTCTCTGTCCCTGCCAGGTGGTCTGACTATGCTTTTACCACTGTTCTCAGGCAAGAAGAAATAGCATGAGCTCAAGGGTCCTCGAAATTCTGGTTTGTAAGCCCCATAACAAAAGAGTTTGTTTAGGGCACTTTATAACCATCTTAGTGACATCGGTCCTTGTTGTTGTTTTTCTTTTTCCCCCATCTCTCAAAACCTGTGAGATTTTCTGTCTGCTAAGTGTAAAACGCTATGCGAGTTGCCATGAAAGTTATAAAACAAGTAAATTACTGGTCACTCACATTCAGCACCTTACATGTCAATAAAATCCAAGGCTCTCAGAGCCTCACCCACCAAAGCTAGATGTACCTGCTCTCTGACATATAAATTCTCTCAAGAGTGCTTCATCCCATTAACATAGAGAATTAATAGGAAAGTATGTACATTTTTGGAAAGGGAACCTCTTCATATTTCAAAATTGGGTATTCACTAGTATGATACTTTCCTAAAAGTAAATTTATTTTGGACTAAGGGGGTTAAAAGATGGAAAGAGGGTATGAAGAGACCAGAAAAATATGAAGGACAAGAAGAACATTCCCGGGTATGGGCAAGATCTGCAAATAGATTGGGAGGCTGAGTCGTGAAACCAAAGACGCTGACATCCTAACCTGGGGGATGGTCCTAGCATCTGTCCTTAAGCGTTAACAGTCATGTTTAGAAGATTAGATGTAAGCAGAAGGAAAAAACCCTGAAGATTCATATGTGGCAAGGTGTGTGGACTAAAGCAAAAGAAGGGGAAGACAGGGGAAGGGAAGGGCATTAATATTAAATAGAATTCATTTAACTGCAGGTGACAAAACCCCCATTCAAACTGGCTTGAAGACTAAAAAAAAGGGTTTAAGATCCACTGGCTCATATAACTGCAGAGTAATGGTTAGATCTAGTAACCAAATAATATCATTGACCATCTATCTGCCCCAGTGCCTTGCATTTGCACCGCTAGGCACTGGTCATCTATCCTCTGCCAGGCTCTCCCCTCTGAATGGGCAGACCCCCTAGCAGCTACTAGGTCAGTGGGCACTGGGAATGGTGGAGGAATGAGTCTACAAAGGCAGGCTAGGGTTACCTTTACTTTAAAAGGGTGGGATAGATGCAGGGAAAGCAGAAACACCAGATTCCCAGTCCCCTTCCCCTCTGGAGGAGGCTTGTGAGCAGGTGAGCATAGTTTCAGCTCCTCTCCCACAGACGCTCTCAGCCTGGGGCCACCAAGCCACACTTGAAGCCAGGGAGGTATTGAGTCATTTTGGCTCCCCACCGTGCTTTTCTTGCCGAGTTACCTCAAAGGTGGCTCTTGGAGGACTTTGTCCTCAGCAGAGGAAGTTTATCCCCAGCTTGAAATTCTCCTGAGTGGTGCACCTAAGATGTTTTCTTCTAATCGACATTTGAAGCACTTTACTGAGGCAGCGCCACACATATTTAATGAAGCCCTAAAAAGGCACCCAGTGTGAAATAAAGGTGAGATAAATCAAAAATAAAAATACATGGCTTAAAATAGAATTCATGGCCTCAGGCAAACTATAAAGCTGCTAGTCTGCTTTCAATGTGAAGTACACAGCGAGAAATAATTTAAAGTTGAAAAACAGAGAGAAAGGGAGAAGACAAGCTGCAATTTTCATTTTATTTGTGTGTGTGTGTGTGTGTATGTGTGTGTGAGTGTGCCTGTGTGTAAAAGATCAATTGTTTTCTGATTGGTTTTATCTTTCCTTTTTCCTTCTTAGTGATCATGGAAACTGGTTTTGTGAGTGTCCGAGGCTATACGCAGGCAAGATGTGCCAGTTTGCTACCTGTGAAAACAGCCCGTGTGGGGACGGTGCCACCTGTGTTCCTAAATCCAAGACAGATGTCGACTGCCTCTGCCCATATGGGAGGTCTGGACTCCTCTGCACGGACGGTAAGATCATGTGATGAGAAAGCATGGTGCACAGGGAAAAGGAGGTGAGGAGTAGAGAAGTCACGCGAAGGAAGCAAGGACAGCCCCTGACAGATCAAATAGGTTGAATCCTTTCCTTGGTTCTTTTCAAGTCAAGCGAGAGAAGACCTACTAGTGAGACTGATCGCCATCATGAAATTCAAAGGAGGTAATGCATTTACCCTGAGGTTAGACTTCAGAAAAATCTCCGTATTCTAAAAATCTCAAAGTCAATATGATGCTTAGAGAGTAACAAGGAAAATCAGATGCAAAACATAAATTCAAAATATTTTCTCTCATTTTGGCAAACTGAGGATATAATATTAACATATCTGTGTGTTGTAGACCAGTTTCTTTTTTGTTTAAAGATAACAAAACCCATGACATGTTTAGTAGATAGCAAGAAATAAAATCACAAATAATATCCATGTGCCTCTCCTTAGGAAAATCCAGTATGTGGAAGTCCTAAATTACAAAAAGGTACAAGATGCTGTAAAATAAGTGTGTTTAGGAAGCAACTTGCCTAAGAATGCAATGTTAGCTTTGATATATAGAAATAAATATGTCTATAAATATTTCTGGAAATAATTAAAGGTATTTAGTATTACTATTTTATCAACTCAGGGTTGGGCTTCTTTCATTTTTATTTTCACCATAAATTATTTTTAATTTTTTAAAGATTTATTTATTTATTTGGAGGGGGAAGGGCAGATGGAGAGGGAGAGAGAGAATCTCAAGCAGACTCCCTTCTGAGCAGGGAAGCCAAGGAGGGGCTCTGTCTCACAACCCTGAAATCATGTTCTGAGCCGAAATCTAGAGTCAGATGCCCAACTGACTGAGCCACCCAGGTGCCCCTCACCATAAAAATTTTTCAAAATTAAATTAAATTTAAAAAACAAAGTTTTTTCTGGTGCTGGTGGTATTTGTTATGAAATTCTAGCACAAGGTTATCAAAGTGAGCACAGGTCACTGTGTCCCAGGCACAAAATGAAACAAACAGATCTAACCTGTGCCGACTCATCAAAAAGCTGGAGTGCCACACCCTGATTTAACAGGCATGAAAACTGAAACTAGAATAAAGAAGAATTTGTGACTAAAAGGTATTGAAATTTTTGGCATATATATCTTTAAGAGAATTGAGACAATGCATTTCTATGTAGCTGGGGGAGGGGAAGTTAAGAAGTACTATGAGTTTCATTCTCTGTATGGCACGTTTATATTAGAAGTTAGCCAAGCCAGTTTTATAATAAAAAAGACATCATACACCAGATGGGATTGAAGTTTTGTCCATTCAGATAAAAACAAAACCATTCATTCTATTGAGGTAAAAGCTATTGAAAAATGCAGTTGATCACAAAAAAATTGATTACTAAGGATGAATCATCAGTTTTTCTTCCTAGTTGAAAATTAGACTGATCACATGAAATAAAAAATGAAGTTTTTTTTGTTTTTGTTTTTGTTTTTGTTTTTTAATGTGGGGCTTGAACCCATGACCCTGAGATCAAGACCGGAACTGAGATTAAGATTCAGACACTTAACTGAACCACCCAGGCGCCTCAAGAAATGAAGATTTATAAGAATGTCTTCCCATATTTACAAAAAATTGTTTACTCCCATCTCTTGGTCATATTACGGCTTCAGAGAGACAGAGATTTATAGATTACTGAGACAGGAAATATTAGACAAAATTTACCTTTCATTGTAGGTAAGAAGAAATTCCTACATGCACCCATCCAGAGGAATTCCTCAAAATAACTCTTCCATTAGTATATTCCACAAAAGTGCCAGAGCAATTTGAGATTCTTACCCTAATGGAACTTGCCTTCTGAGAAGATCAAAAGAAAGTAACAATGGCTCAAGACACAGAATAGAGTTTATGGAAAGAATTATGAAGGAAATAAACAGGAGTATAAGGAGTACAGGTGCTCATAACATGAATGACTCCAGAAGAGTAGAGATTAGTGCTAATGCCTAAATAAGAAATATGACATATGAAACCAAGAGAACAAGTGTTCAAGCAGAAGTTTCAGAAAAATGAAAGACTCTGAAGGGAGCTAGAACCTAGGCTTTTTTTTTTTTTTTTTTTTGAAGAATGAAAGGTGCTATTCTAGCAGAGCATAAGGGAACAAGGGAGAAAACCATATCTTTCATGAGCAGGGCCTACATCATAAAGGATCTTAGGCACATGGGAAGGTCTTAGACTTTGATTTCTCAGTGCCTTAAGAAGCCATTGGACAGTTTTAAAGAGGCAAGTGGTATATATGTATTTGTTTAAACCATTCTGACTGCAGTATATCAATTTTAGAAGGCTTTTGTCAGTTACCCTGACAAAAGATAATTTTGCTTAAGACCAGGGTGATGGCCAGTGGAGATGGAAATAAGTGGATAAACTTAAGATCTGTTCTGGAGATAGAATTGACAGAACTTTCTGGGAAGTGTGTGGGACAGGCTGAGTCAAGTACATCTAGATTTCTTTATTTTATTTGTTTGGACTATGGGTAGATTGTGGCACCATGAAGAGGATTAGGAGCATAACAGGGTTTTTATGGGGCATTATTGGGAGGTAAACAAGAGTTCCATTGTGTACAGATGAAGGGAAATATGCCTGTTAAGATATCCAAATGGAGAAGTTATGAAGGCAAACAGGTAAATGATACTCAAGCTCATGGGAGATGTCACAACTAAAGATAAAATTTGGAGAGTCATCAAAGTAGAGGTGGTGGGTAACACTATAGAACCAGAGATTGTCTAAGGAGAAACTGTAGATAAAGAGAAGAGGACTGTGGACCAGGATTCCACTACTTAGGGATATGGGAAAGGAGAGAAAGCCATGTGAAATGCCAGTACCATCCCCAAACAAGCACCCCTCCCCATACACGCACATTATCTTTCAGCCCATAAATATCGCTCCTTTGGCGATGTTGCATTGTCTTAACCCAGATCCGCCATCAAAGCAGAACCTGGATAAAGAATTGCATTGAAGTAGTTTATTTTGGAAACAATCTCAAGAAACAGGAGTGTAGTGAGGACTCGGAGGGACTAAAACAGGAAAGGGGAGAAAGTCAGTACATAGGTGTCTTATGGGGTTGAAGCGTGAACAGCTGTGCTTCATTCTACTGAGATCTTATGAGGAACTGTCTAAAATGACAAAATTTTCTGATCTTATGAAGAAATGTATAGAACGATTCTAAAAATTGCCTGCCAAACAAAAGAGAGAAGCATTTAACCATTGATTCATGGTTCCTTTTGATTGAGGGTTGCCCTACGGGACCTTAATTGTCCTACATTTCTATATTGCTATATAAAACTAGCAAAAGGGCTAGCTTTTGCAGGCATCTCAGGCAAGCAAAAGCTCCAGAGAAGCTGGGGATCGAGGAAGTATAGTTTAGCATATCGACATTCCATTAGCAGTCACAAAATGCCCACTCAAAGTGTCCGCTCCCTTCAGGAGCCATCTTTGCATCCAGCAAGAATCAAGGCTTTCTTTACTCCCCCAGCTAGTGTGAGGTAGTGCCCCATATCGTTTCTTGGACCATTCACTGCAACCAGTCACCTCCAGGAGATTCTCCAGAACATTACTGAATATGTAGCTATTCAGTAGAAAAAAGCGTAGAGCAAACCGATAAGCATAGTTGTTGCCCAGTTGCAAATACACATGAGAAAAGGCAGGGAATAATATCCAAAAACTCCTTTTTTCATCTTTGCCATTTTGTTAATACCAGAGGGTGAAAAATCACCGAGTTTTAACAGCAGTTGTATTTGCTACATAGCACTTTTCTTTCAGATCATAGCCATATCTACCATAATAATATATTCTTTGGGGGATAATAAGAAATATAATTATGACGTTTCCTACCTTGTTGATGTTTCCACTGGGAAATTCATCCCGGGGCAATCATGGCAGTGATGACAGGAGCCAAAACAAACAAACACTGCAAATGGAAAATTCGCAGCTGCCTTCCTTTGTAAAGTGCTTTGCTTTCCACATTTGTGCTCTTCATTCACACTTCCTGTTGCCTCCTATACAGGCATAAGCTTCTTGTTTCCTTAACCACATCATTTTAAAGACAAAGGGGGGACACTTTATTTTTTCTCTCAATGGCTGTGTCCTTTCTAAAATTTGTCTTAATTTACCTTGTCCTCCCAGCCTGCGCCTGTCAATGGAACATAGCTTTTGAAGAAAGTAGTGAAACATGCAGACTAAGAGCCTAGAATCAGCTCGGCTGGGTTAAAATCCCCAGTCCCCGCGCTGAGCAGTGTTCAGGGTGACCTTGGGCAAGTCACTTGGTCTCTCTGTGCTGCAGGTTCAGAGTTTGATAATAGAACCCGACTTACAGAATTCATGAGAATTAGATGAGATGATTCATATAAATTGCTTAATGTATCACTGGACACAAAGAAAATGCTTTTGTTTTTTTAAGAGCACTCGAGCCAGTATTCTGACCCTCAGAGAGAACTGTGGCATCCTGCATCTCGTCATTGTGGGAAAGAAGGCTGGATCTCCAACCTAGCTAGAAAGAAAACTCTCTAGGATATCAACAAAAATCAAAATTAATTTCCTTTTAAGAATTTTTCTAACTTGGTGACACTCTTTGCAGTGATTAGAGACAAGCCAGGGTATTACAAAGTCAGGTAGGAAAGCAGCGCTCCAGGGATACAGATAATCACCAGGCTATTTAAGGACATGCTACCTCTATAAAGCAGCTTAATGTCAGGCTGGCATTTTGTAATGGCATATTTCAAGTACATGTAATTTTCTGTCATGTAAGCTCGTAACTCTTTTGATAGCATCCACTCTGATATGATCCAGCTTTCTCTCTCCGACTCAACAGCTGTTTGATTACCCTGCTGTTCAACCCATCTCAATATCCCTCATTTCTCTCCATGTTTAAATTCTCTATTTTCCAGCTCCTGGTTACAAAGAAATGTTGAAAGATCAGGCCTGATCCCAGAAGGGGGCAAGGAGACAGGGGTGATTGTGG